GCCGCGCTCCCAAGTGGCGCACTGTAGCAGTGCGCCACCAGGTCGGCAAGAAGGCCAGACCTGTGCCCCAACTTTCCCTTTTCTGACACGTCTTTTACTAGGTACTGGTAGGAGAAAAAGAAGTGAGTCAAGTACATGAGGGCATTTTTAAAGAGAGGGCAAAAGAGACTACTGTGTCCCTTTTTTTTTTTCCCCTCTTGAAGATTCTGAAAAGACATTACTTTTTTAGCTGCTTCTACAACAAACCTGTAATATGGCCACATATTGAACCAAGCCAGCCTGACACCTGCCTGGGGGTCCTGAGAGACAGGAGCAGTGGGCCATAGCCCCACCCCAGCAGCTGCATATCCAAGCCAGCAACAGAACATGCCCAATGCTTTCCTGGGGGTCCTGAGGGACAGGGGTGGGGGGCTCTGTCCCACCCCCACCAGTGAACATCGAGGCCAGCAACAGAGCCAGACCAATGTCCCCCTTGGGGTCCAGAGGAGGCGGCCATGGACCTCAGCCCCACCCCCAGCGCCACACATTCAGCCAGCAACAGAGGCAGCCCAATGCCCCAGGCTCCTAATGAGATGGGGAAGTGGGCCTTTGCCCTGCCCCCACCACATCAAGGCCTACAAGTGAACCAGCCCACACTTGGCATCCTGAGACAGGGGCCTGGCCAGCCCCACCTCCACCAGCAACCAGATGCTAGAATGTACTTACTAACCACTTGTGTTTCTTTGGGGTTTGTGACTTACCTGCTCATGCGCTTCACCAAATTTCTGCTTAGATTTTTCTAATTCATTTTTAAGAGTTCTTTTTGCAATAAGGATGTTAATCTTTGTATGTTTAAAAAAAAAATTAGAGAGTAAAATAATGGTTACCGGAGGCTGGGAGGAGGGGGAATAAGATTAGAGGTAAACTAATGGGGACAAAACTATGCTATCTATTGTGCAGGATATTCATGTATTGAAACAACACACTGTATCCCACAAAAATAAATATAAATAAAACTGAATTTTAAAATAAATAAATAAAACCAGAAAAATAAAACATGGCCACATAAACTTGACTTCAAAGCAGCAGATAATGCAAAGACAGATCCTAGGTTGAGATTTCATGAACCACTCTCAGTTCTCATATAATGGGGGCTTGCCATAGGGTTCCTATGCCAAGGTGTGGTAGCTATGCAGCATAGGCTAGGGTGAAAGGACTGCTGGGCCAGCAGAGTAGATGAGACACATGGCAGAAACTCAGGGGCTTGCACCAATTTGAATTAAAGTAAGGAAAAGCCAGTTGGAGATCATGGGCCTGGCAAAGCCAGGAACAACCAGGTAAGTATCATGCCACCATACCAAGACACTTTATCTAGAATGTCAGCAGAACAGGGGCACAAAAATGTAGAAAGTCATCAATTTTTCCTTGCCATTATGAGATCCTATGAACCACGTGCACCATGAAGGGAAGTGAGAAACTGAGCACTTTTACATAATAACTCTACTATTTGAATTGCCTAATTGAATAAAACTTAAAATTGAATTGAACATCTCATTAACTTTTTTTCCCCGTTAATAAGAAGGTGGAGGCTAGAGAAAATGACTAGATTAGTTAGAGACAAAATTAAAAATTAAATATTTTCTGGACATCCAAATTATAGTATGAGTTAAATCATGTATCTCCGATATACATGTTAGTTCAAACAAACAAAAACAACTTGTACTCCACCTGTCTGAAGAGGTTAGGGAAATCATCTGCATTGTTGACTTTTCTGATTCCCTTCCCTCCTCCTCCTTCTGAAGCCTTGATCATTACTGGATATCCAACTTCCTCTGCTGCCTTCAAGAAGAAAGAGAAAAATAGAAGAGTGGTATTAGTAGAGAAGAAGAAAACTGGCATTTTCTTTCTTTAAGAATGCAGTCATTTAGTAGGTCTATACATAGTAAAATGAAAGCTCTTTAAGATATAACAGTAATTGTGGTAATAGGTTGAACCAAAAGAAAGTGCCTTTTTTGTAGATAAGAAAAAGGTTGAATATTGGAAATTTCATATGGTTCAATCCAAGATAATCTCATATAGGTCAGAAAATAAAACTATTTATGTACAATTATATATGTATTCACACACATATCTAAATGCAAAGAAACTAAGTCCCGAATATATACCAGTGGTGATTTATAAAACAAAAATGGGTAGATATAAACTTTTACTTTTTATAGTTCTGTACTATTGATTTCTTTCTTACAGCAGGCAGGTGTTCATGTATTACCCATAATTTTTAAAAAAAGACATAAATAGTTTACATAATACAAGCTAATAGTCCTGATAGAGCTTGAAACCAAATATAAGACTCAGCAAATCAGAACTCTCAAGTATCCAGAAAACTTTTCTCACTCAACTTTTTATAAAAGATAAAAACAAGATCTCAAGATATTAACAAAATTTTCCAGAAAACTAATTTTCAGCACATGCTCCAAATGTGCATTTACAGTATTACATAATGATAAAGTGATGATCCTAAAAATTTTTAAACATTATATATCCATCAAGTAGGGAGCTGCTTAAATCAAGATATACCCATATACTATATAGAGTACAATGCAATTATTAGAAGAAATGAGTTATCTTTTACATGTAATGATAGGGAAGATATGCAAATTATATTAAGGCAAAAAGTAAATTGTGAAAAACTTAACCAAAAACTTATAATAACTAAGTCATTCACATTTGTCAGAATATTCCAGTCTTGGGCTGCCCGTGGCTCACTCGGGAGAGTGTGGGGCTGATAACGCCAAGGCCGCATGTGTGGATCCCTATATAGGGATGGCCGGTTAGCTCACTTGGGAGAGCATGGTGCTGACAACACCAAGTTAAGGGTTAAGATCCCCTTACCGGTCATCTTTTTGAAAAAAAAAGAATATTCCTGTCTTGGCTGGCCGGTTATCTGAGTTGATTAGAGCACAGCCTTGCTCTTAACCGAGGTCAAGAGTTCATTCAGTTCCCTGTACCAGCCAGGCACATGAAAAAAAAAAAAAAAAATCCTGCCTTATGTGGTAGGAATATCTTTAAAATGTGTCACCAGAAAAAGACCATTTCAAATTTTAATTTGTGTCAGTAGATTAAGGATGGAAATTTTATACTTTTAATCCTATCTCTTCTAAAGTTCTCTTCTATTTTTTTCTATGCTCATATAAACAGAATTATTACGATAAACTCAATCACTGGGTGATAGGTGATCAAAGAAATAGCACAAATGTGGAAAATGCTTCAAAAAACAGGGTAGCCCACAGGAAGTCAATAAGACGGTAGGTTTTTTAAAAATACATATATGAAAGCTCTAGCTACAGGTCACTCATTAAAAATATTTTAGAAAAGTTTTAATGCCATGGGGAAAATGCTGATATATAAAGAAGTAGAAGAAAATACTAGGATTACTAAATAATATATATAGTAAGATCCTAATTTTATAGTTATTATAATTATAGAAATCTAGGGCCAACCCGTGGCTCTCTTGGGAGAGTGTGGTGCTGATAACACTAAGGCCAAGGTTTCAGATCCCTATATAGGGATGGCTGGTTAGATCACTTGAGAGAATGTGGTGCTGACAATGCCAAGTCAAGGGTTAGGATCCCCTTACTGGTCATCTTTTCAAAAAAAATAAAAAATAAAAAATAAATTATAGAAATCTATTAATAAAGATTATTACTAAATAAATCTATGAATCGAAAAAGCTGGAAGAAATCTATAAATATGTTACTGGGCATTACTCTGGATGGTGGGTTCATTTGTGGTTTTATCATCATCTCTGCCTTTCCAAATTTTCTACCAGAAAATTCTGTTTATAATTATAACCAGTGAAAAAAGGGATTTTTAACCAATAAGGAAAATAGCTAGTTCCTTCAAAAGGAGAGAACAGAACTGAGGCCAAGAGAGGTGGAAAAGGGGAGGGAGGAGTGGGGGGAACAGTGAGAAATTAGTAAAGGGCCACAAAAAATGACTACAATGTGTAAGGTTGAATATACTAATTATCCTGATTTGAGAATCACATATTGAACACAGGTATTGAAATTCAACACTATACTCCACAGATATGTATAATCAATTATGTTTCAATAACAACAACTAAAAAAAATAGCTAGTTCCTTACAAAGGGCTTTTCTACTCTTTTGTAAATTATAGCAAGAAAAACAGAATAAAGCATTTGCAATTTAAGTAGAAATATTAATTCTTTTATTAAGGAGATTACAGAATGCTTAACTTGAAATGCAAGTAATAGAGCAAAATTAGTTGAACATTCAGAGTTCCTCTTGAATTTATAATATATAAGTCAAACTCAAGTAGTATGTTTTCTATATAGCCTCTTTCATCATCTACCTGGAGGCTTAACTGACACTTCCGAATAGTTAAAAAGTGAATAGGAAAGAAACGGAGAGAACTGTGTATAAGGAAAAAAAAGGTACCGTTGGGGAAAGGATCTCCATTTGCCTGGGTTCACATTTCAACGTGGATGGACAATAATTATTGTTAACACTTTCAGTCTCTCTCAGCTTACTCCCTCACTCCTCCACAAAGGAAAAAGAATAAATTATGTGATTGGTTACTTTGGAAGGAGGAACCTAGCACACACAGCTCAGCCTCTTCCCCGTTGGGATCAGCCCACTGCACAGAACATATGCCCTTTGTCAGCTCACAGTCAGACAATAAGCCGAATGGTAAATGCTCTGTCTCTGTAGAGGGAAGTCTGGTTATTTAGCACTGCCAGTAACCAGCGAGTGAGTGAACCTGTTTAACTCTGGCGTTCAGTTTACAAATCTTATTGTTGTTACACACTTAAACCATTTTCACCAACATCTCTATTCAGAATATAGCTGACATTTTGATTTTTATCTGCCTGACTTCTTGGTTCTGAACTCAAGCAAGGGGAAAAGGATGTTGTTTGTTGGCCCCCCTCACACACAAACAGGTGGTAGAGAGAGGGAGAATCAGTACCTCGTAAAACTGATTTAATCACATGAGAAATGTTCTGTCCAGATGAGCAGCTTGCTTCAAAACAAACTTAAATTGTTTAAATTTAAAGTCACTTCCTCACTCTACACTTAAACCCTAATGCCATCATGGGCATGCATCATAACCAGGCTCCAAATCCCCATATCTGTGACTAGAATTGGTCATTTGAGAGGCATCACTCCCTGGAGTTAGAAACCTACCTTCAGCCCATCGTCCACATCCTTCACATAACCTTTTTCATATAGTTCCTGGGGAACATTTAAGATACGTTTTGAAAAATCATTTTCCTGCCAGTCCACACGAAGACCTGCAATACATAGTAATGACTTAAGAACAGCTACAAGAGCTTCTGCTATTTCCTTCTTTAAAATATTATCATATTTATCCAAAATTGAGGGTAGATGGGAGAAAGAAGGATACCACAAAACCCCGATCAGTCCTTGGGGTTAAAAGTATTTAGCCACAGCATGATCTGGTAACTTGGGTTCTTAGGTTGGAAAAAGCCAGGAGAGCTAACGGCACAACTTATAAAAATGCAAGAACATACAAGACAGTAAAAAATAAATAAATAAATAAAAATATGGCAGACTTCTCACAGCAACTCAGCAGGCAAAATACCTTCAATTTCTGTGATCAGGCCTCCTCCAGGGCCAGAGGTCTGGGAAATAATTCAATCTTTATGAGCCCTTGGAAATGGAAATGGCGGTTTTATTGGCCTCAGCAGAGTCATGATTCCATGTTCCCTGAAAGTCCCTGTACTCAGCCACAAGGGGAAAACTATAGCCTACCCATTCAAACAAGAACAAATTCAACCTCTTATTTTAAACTATTTGACCCAGCAGGTTTGGAAAGAATATTGCAATCTCCCTGGAGAACCAGAATAACAAGGGTTCAAATCTTTCAGCCTCAAGACAACAGTCATTCCTATTTAAAAGAGGTTTTAGTGTATATCTGCTCCCAGTGCTTGAGTACTAAAAAAAGGGAAGTTCATATTGTTATCAGCTATAATTCACATGGCACTGTTTAAGGGATTTGTCAAGAATAAATCATTTTCTGAAAAATTTTATCCTCCAGCATGCCTGGAAGGAAGGTTGCCTACTGACTTCATTTTCTACATCAAGGGCAATTGGATTTGAATGATATTAAACAGACAAAACAAATCATCAATAGATTGTGGGCTGACATAAAGAAAACACTGGCAGGTAAACCGCTGAGTAAGTGGGTTTTAGGTTTTTCCTAGTGAAAAGAAAGACCTAATTCCACATAAGAAGTCCACTCTGAGGAAGATTCTAGCCTACTATAGTACATCTGAATGAACAGAACCATATGCACGTTCCCAGAGTTTCTCCAAATTAAGTCCCAAGATCACTCCAGATCACAGTTTAGCATCTTTGTACCTAGTACTAAGTTTACATTCCTAAGACATGATAAAAATCACAGGTGTATTAATTAAGCCAAGAGATACAAGGTACCATTAATCAACCAGGACTCTATTTCTTGTCGAGTATATTAATACATTTTAAACAAACTTAAGTCCCAAGCCATTTGCCAAATATCCTACTGAGCTTTTCTGCACTTTAAGATACAAACAAGAAATAATTTCTTACCACTGCCACTCCAGGGAAGAGTTGGGATACCTGCAGTTTGAGCCACTATGGAAGATGCAATCTTATCACCCAATGCCCACATGGCTTGGCTTGGAGGACCTAAAAACAAATTAGAAAAGAACCTTCACTATAACATTTGGCCTCATTTCTGGCACATCTATTCTGCCTTATGTTATAATTATTTTTGTATTTGTCTTGCTTCCCACTCTATCACGTATCAGGGATCATAAACTTGATAATGGGGATGACTATGTTTTGACTCATCTTTGTACCCTTTATAGAATCTACTGTAGTAACCTTTTTGCACACAGCAAGAGCTCAATATGTATAAATATATGGTGAATTCAATTCCAGAAAAATCTAACTAATTTTATATTCCTTCATGATCCAATTTCACCAGATTAACAGTTTATTTTTATTTTTATTTTATTATTATTTTTTTTTGTCTTTTCCGTGACAGGTAAGGGGATCGCAACCCTTGGTGTGGTGTCACCCGCACGGAGCTCAGCCAGTGAGCGCACCGGCCATTCCTATATAGGATCCGAACCCATGGCGGGAGCGTCGCTGCGTTCCCAGAGCCGCACTCTCCCGAGTGTGCCACGAGGTCGGCCCAACAGTTTTTTATTTTTTACTTTTAACCAATATCCTGAAATAAGGACTATAAAGTTTTGGAATTCAAGTATGAAATATACCCTCCCTGGTCTTAGGGGAACCCAAAGAGGAGATTTATCGGTAATAAGGTTTAAAAAGCATAATCATCATTATAGAAAGTCTTTGAGAATGAGAGAGAAACACTTTGGGCCACATAACCTCTATTTTTCTTTCTGCCATACAGAGCAGAAAGTCAGAAAAAACAGTTCTCATCTATAGGAATACAACGTATATGCTTAAATGCAAAGTGCTGATTCCTATTTAAGGACACACTGCAAGGGTATCCTTACATACAGTTATGCACTGCATAATGTTTGATCAATGACAGACGGCATATACGATAGTGGTCCTATAAGATTATAATGGCTATACCATATAGCCTAGGTGAGTAGTATGTTATACCACGTAGGTTTGTGTAAGTACATTCAATGATGTTTGCACAATGATGAAATTGCCTAACAACGCATTTCTCAGAACATATCCCAGTCATTAAGCAATACATAACTATATTCCATCATCTGCACTACCTAAAAACAGGTCCTTTCTTCACATTTTCTTATGGTTACTGGCAAAGTTTTAAAAGGGCAGTGATTCGGAAAGCAGAGCCTTCTCCATATCTTATGGAAAAGGACTCAGGGACAGAAAACACAACCAAGATGAAGCGAGATAAGCAGATGTGGGTGGGTGGGGGGTGGGGAAGAAATGAAGAGGGTAACTCTGAGAGTTGCTGACTGATTAAAAAAAAAAAAAAAGCCCAGTACATGTTAAACAGAAGAAAATCAAACTATTGAATGAAATATGGGCAAAATTGACAAAAAGAAACAAAAAGATAGGAACAGTATGTCAGAAAGGCTTACCCATGAAGGCGATGCCATTTTTCAAAAGAAGTTCAGGGAGCTTGGGATTCTCAGAAGCATGACCCCAGCCAGCCCACACTGCCTGCAAGGAAATACAATATGATTCATTCTTAAAATTCATACCAAAAAACACTTAAAAACTGCATTACTCTCTAGCAAGACTGGCCCTACTTCATGAGGTACTATATAATAGTTCCACAGCAGCCTATGTGGTAATATTGTTACAAAGTAATTAATAGATAACACAGCACTTTATCAAAATTCATTCTCATATTAATAAATGTCATTCCAGGGGCTGGCTGGTTAGCTCACTTGGTAACACCAAGTTCAAGGGTTTGTAGCCCCATACCAGCCAGCTGTCAATCAATAAGTGTCACTCCATAAAATATCTTTTAATGGCTGCATGGTATTTCATAGAATTGGTTTAGTTCATTTTACTTATCCATTCATGTTGGACACAAGTTACACAAATAAATAAGAAAACTCCTCTCAAAAGAGAATACTCAATTCTTTACTATAGATTTCACTAATCATCTACCTTTCAAACTTTTCCTATAACTACCATGAAATAAAAGTGTGATCATTCCATTCTTTCCATCTTTCCTTTCCTTGTCTGTTTTCGTTATCCCGTATAAAGACATTTAAGAATTTTCAAAAAAGATGTTTTATATAGAAGTTCTCTGGATATTCCCCTGTGCCTAACAGTAAAATGGCTGAATTTGGTTTTAAAGAATACATTGGCATCTTACTTGTACCGGGATCCTTTTAGCAATATCAAGAATTAATTCCACATTCGCATAGTTGTTGTTGTTTGGTCCTCCAGGCACTGGCACATAGTGATCGGCCATCTTAATGTATTCTGAAAATGCAAGCAAATTAATAAAGAACACACGCTTTTTTTTTTTTTTTAGGAATTTAATTGCATAGCAAAACTATGTACAGGACAGGGATTATCATAAGTAACCACAGGACAAACAGCAATTAATGGGATAATTTCCAGGACCATTTAGTTGAAGGCTCTGAGTTTGTTAAATCACAGCACCAATATGGATTAATCCCATATTTAGGAAGGTCATATACTAAAATAGCTGTTCACTTTAGCTTTTCTGAAGAATCTTTATGACCTCTATATCAAGTTGATCTGCCAGTTAGTGTCCCAAGTACAATTACTCTATTTGGAGAAAAAGTTCAAGTCCTGACATCCTTTAACTTGCACTGCACCCTGAGAAAGCCCTCTTCCTGGTGCAGATCAGGGCAGAATGGGGAAAAAGAATAGAGCCTGGAGGGTTTGCAGACTGGCTAAACAGGAAAGGTTAGTTACAGGAGTCTGGTGCCCGAAAAGGGTTTATCTGGAATGATGAAGATAATAGGTATTTAAAAGAAACTTTAGAAAGATAACCACTTTCCCTCCCGACATTTTTTTCTCAGTATTCCCTTTCAAATTTGTCACCTCATGTCTGTCTTTTCCTATTCTGGCAACAACAATTGTAGCAGAGCAGCTACCATCTGCAGAGACTGTACTAAGCTCTTTATATATACATTATCTCATTTAATTCTCTTAGCAATCCTATATATGATAAGTATTATTAGCACCCAAGTTCACAGGAAATTATGGCATGGCGCAGTTAAGTAACCTGCTCAAAGTTCATCTCCACCATATTATTAACATTTCTTATATCTCATTCTTAGCTTTAAAAGATTTTTAAGTCCTACTTAAAAAAAGAAAAAAAAAAAAAAAGACTAAAAGCAAGATGTGGGGTCTTAAGGTTTGTTCAAAATTAAAATGGGTTGGGCCAGCCCGGTGGCGCACTGCTACAGTGCGCCGCTTGGGAGCACGGCGGCACTCCCGCCGAGGGTTCGGATCCCACATACAGACCAGCCGCTCACTGGCTGAGCGAGGTGCGGGCGCAACACCGAGGGTTGCGATCCGTTGCCGGTCATGAAAAAAAAAGACAAAAAGGAAAAAAAAAAAATTTAAAATGGGTCTATTGTTCTCTTTGATTTTAGGAAAAAAGCATGCTAATTATTAAAAATTTTAGATACTATAACAGCACGTAATACACTTTTTTTAAAAAATCAAAATCACCAGTTGTCCCATCTCAGAGATAACAAGTTCATGTTTTGGTATACTCGTAACCATAACCTGTTAACCAATTTAACAACATATTGTAGATATCTTTCCGTATTATGACAAAGAGATATGCTTTATATATGTCATATATTTATGTATGCCTAATGTTTCAATACTCCCTAATCCATGTTAACTACTAACTTATTGACAGAAATATAGATTATTTATAATTTGGATAATTATAATTTCCAAATTATTTCTGTTTGTAGTGAATTGAATTATGTTCCCCCCAAACTCACTGAAGCTTGAATTGTGTCCCCCAAGTTTTCTGTATTAGAAACTTAGCCCCCACTATGACTGTTAAAAGGTTGGGAAATCCTATTATGGTAATTGAAAGGTGAAGGCTTGAAGAGGTGATTGGATTTTAGGACCGTGCACTCGTTACTGGATTAATAATGGTGGTCAGGGGCGTGATTCTGAGGGTGTTAAAAAGAGAGTGAATGAGGAGGTTACTCTCTACTCAGCCATTTCACAATGTGATACCCTGCATCGCTGAAGTCACCACCAAGACCCTCACCAGATGTGTTCCCTGGACTTTGGACTTCCAAGCCTCTGAAACTGTAAGCAATAAATTTCATTTTCTTACAAATTACTCAGTTCCATGTATTTCGTTATAAGCAACAGAAATGGACTAATACACTGTCCAATAATATCCTCAGGATATGTTCCTAGAAGTAAAACAATTGGGTCAAAGGGTATTCGTATTTTCAGACTCTCACTAGCAATATGGGTGCCAAATTGCCTATACTCTCACTTATATTAGATGTTATCAATCTTTTCAATTTTGTCAATTTTATAATTTTAAATAAATCCCTATCTACCATTGTTTGTGTTTGTATTTTTTTGATTACCATTGAAACTGAATCTCTTTTTGTGTGTTACTTTTTATGTATGCTTTTATGGACTACCTGTTCATGTTCTTTGCTGATTTTCTATTGAAGGGTGACTTTTTCTCATACTATAGGTAGAAGCTCTTTGCTGCCAATGTTTTTCCAGATTATCATTTGTTTTTAACTTTTTCTTTTTCTTTTTTTTTTTTATAAAATAGAAATTTCATGTAGTCAAATCTATCTAACTTTTCCACTGTGGTTTAGTCTTTTCCACAGTTCAGGAGCCATAAACAGAAAAAATCACTTTAATTGCTGACCTACATCATACACATACATACATACATATATACACACACACACATAGTCTGCAAAGGTACTACTGCCCCCAACCAACAGTGGATCAGAGCTCTATGCCAATCTTCTATTGTCATTATTGTAGACACTAAAGAAAAGAGAAGCCCTGAGAAGCAAAAAAAGAAAGCTCACTCTGATATAATCTGTATCTCTCCACCATCTCCTAGTTCTCAGAGTTCCCATAACTACCAGCAGAGACACTATTCTGTATTCACAAATAAATAAGAAAACTCCTCTCAAAAGAGAACACTCAATTCTTTACTATAGATTTCACTAATCATCTACCTTTCAAACTTTTCCTATAACTACCATGAAATAAAAGTGTGACAATTATTACCATGCTCATCTTAAACCTGTCAATTTTTGCCCATTCCCCTCCAGTCTCAAAAGGATAAAGTCCTCTCATGTTAATAACCAGCTCTCCTATCTAAGACTCCTTTTTCATAATTTTTTAAATTATAAAAATAATTAGTGTTTTACACTGGATCACAGTGATCGCAGAATGGTAAACATTTACTAAAACTAAAGAATTTCATACTTTTAAAGGGATGACTTTTATGGCATGCAAATTAACTCAATAAAGCTGTTAATAATTAACATAATAGAAAGGCTATGAAAAAAGGAAAAATCACCCATAATACTAATTCCTTAATCACTACTAGTACGGTAATCCTTTCTAGCATCCTATTTTTTAAATAACTTTCTTTAAAAGTTGTAAAATGTATATACTCTATGTAAAAAAAGCTGGAAAAAGAATAGAAATAAAAACAGCCCAAAATTCAAAGCTATGCTATCTACCCTAAGTGAATCAATGTACAGTATATGCATGTATTGAAACAAGACACTGTACCCACTAAACATGTACAAGTAAATAAATAAAAGCAATAAAAACACCCCAAAATTCTACCCCCAGAAAAAACTATTATTGCTGTTTCGTTAACCCTCGTATGACTATACACATGTATTTTTTTCTATTATTATATTACAATTTTCTTTTATAGCCAACTTCTTTTTTTTTTTTTTAGGAATTGTGGTGGACAGACACCAAGGTTTTCCCACGATCCCAACCTCCAAGTATTTATGCCTTCTGTAATCCCCTCCCCTTAGGTATGGGCAGGATCTGTGACTTGCTTCTAGGCAAGAGAACAGGCAAAGGTAATGTCATTTCCATGATAACACTGCATAAGAATATAACCCATCTTACTAGGAGATTCTCCCTTGCTGACTCTGAAGTAGCAAACAGTCATTCCAGGATGGCCCGCATGACAAGGAGCTGAGAGTAGCCTTTGACTAACAACCAACCAATACTCAGTCCCTCATTCTGACAGCCCACAAAAAACTGAATGCTGCCAACAAGCATGCAAGCTTGAAAGCAGATCCATCTCAAGTCAAGCCTCAGATGAGACCACAGCCCCAGCTGACACCTGATCACAGTTTTCTGAGACTGTGAAACAGAAGACCCAGCTAAACTATGCTCTGACCAACAGAAACTGTGAAATAATAAATATTCATTGCTTTAAGCGGCTCTGTTTGTGGTAATATTGTTACAAAGTAATTAATAGATAACACAGCACTTTATCAAAATTCATTCTCATATTAATAAATGTCATTCCAGGGGCTGGCTGGTTAGCTCACTTGGTAACACCAAGTTCAAGGGTTTGTAGCCCCATACCAGCCAGCTGTCAATCAATAAGTGTCACTCCATAAAATATCTTTTAATGGCTGCATGGTATTTCATAGAATTGGTTTAGTTCATTTTACTTATCCATTCATGTTGGACACAAGTTACTCCCAGTTTCTCACTATTTTGAAATACGCAATATCCTTGTACAAACAAATTTGCTCCCATTACTGATTTTTTCCCCTCAGAATAAATAGCAAGAAACAGAATTTCTTGGTCAAAAGATATGCACATTTTTGTCCACTTGTGCTCTTGATCCCATCCGTTTCCATCTCTTTGAGGTCTGTGATGTATTCCAGGTTTCTTGTGTACTTCAACCCTTCCCCACTCTTTGGCCACCGCTCTCAGACTGTAAACATTCCTAAGTCTCTTTCATTCTAAAAAATAAAAATCTTCTCTTGACCCTGAATTTCTCTTTAGGTACTGCCTTTTCTACTTCCCTTCTCATACAAAATTCTTTAAAACCTAATCTATGTTGGCTATCTTCATTTCACTTACCATCCATTCCTTAATATCCTATATAAGTCTGCATACTCTTATATTGTTCTACTGAAATTATTCTTGCAAAATTACCAATGATTTCCTAATCTCTGGACATGTTTCTAGTCCTGTTTTTCTGGACTGCTGACATGTTTGACCCTTCCTTATTGAAATTCTCTTTACTCTTTGCTTCTCTGTTTCTTCTCCTACCTTTTCTCAGCATTGTCAGTTGATCCCTAACTTCTAGTTTTCCATAAAATTTCATCCTTAGCCCTCTTCTCTTCATTTTCTATGTGTTCTTCTGCGGGGCAGTATTAACTACACCACTTATTTGCCAATAATACACACATCTTAATCTCCAACTCTCATTATTTCTAAGTTCTAGAAGGATATATTCAATTTTTTGCAGGATTTATAGGACTTGAATATACAAGTATTCCAAACTAAATCTATCTTCTCACCAAAAAACCTTGTTCTTGATATATTGCCTATTTTAGTTGGTAAAACTAGGTTGATATCAGCATCCATCTAGTCAACCAAATTCAAACCCAATAGTCAACATTAACTTCTCTCAATCACCAAATCTTGCCTTTTACCTACGTCTCTCTAAACCATCCCTTTCTTCTCTATCCTCAGCCCCATCACATTTCCTCTATTACTGTATTCCTCAAAAGGATCCTCCGAGATACTAACAGAATCATCCATCTATTTTTTTTTTTTGAAGAATCTTTTAGAGATACATACTGAAATATTAACAGCTAGAATAAAATGATATCTAGGATTTGCTTCAAAATAATTGCAGGAGGGGCAGGGGATGAGAGTATAGATGAAATTAGATTGGCCATGAGTTGATAATTATTAATATTGGGTGACAGGTAGATAGAAAAGGGTTCATTATATTCTTCTACTTTTGTATGGTTAAAAAAAAAAATCAGTGTGCACATGGGTGGACTTAAAAGGGGGGGGGGACCCAATTCAACCATTCAGAATGAAAATCCTTTAATATCCAACACACACACACCCCTAGGAAGATAAAGTATGGGCTTTTGAATATGGAAAATAAGGTTCCCCTTGACAAATATTCTATTACGTTGCTATAGATTGGATGTCCCCCCAACCTCGTTGACATTTATTCCCCACTGTAACTGTTCAGGGTGGAAATCCTATTATGGTAATTGAAAGGTGGGGCCTTGAAGAGGTGATTAAATTGTAGGACCATGCCATGCAATAGTGAATGGATTAATAATAGTGGTCAGGAGCGTGGTTCTGAGAACTTTAAAAGACAAGCACACAAAGAGTTTTTCTCTCTGTGTGTCTACCATCTTGCAATGTGAGACCCCTGGGTCACTGTTGCCACCACCAAGGCTCTCATCAGATGTGTTCCCTGGACTTTGGACTTCCCAGACTCAGAAACCATAAGCAATAAATTTCACTTTCTTACAAAGTACTCAGTTCCAGGTATTTTGTTATAAGCAACAGAAATGGACTAATACACATACCTTGTACTTTAATAAGCCATTTGTAATTTCCAGAAAACCACTTATGTTATATTTTCATACATTTGCATATGCTGTTCTTTCTGTGTGTTATACCCTTCTCTCCCCAATAATTCCTTCACTAACTCTTACTCATTCTTAGCTAGGCCATAACCTCTTTCAGAAAGCTTTATCTTAACCCTGCCCTCAAGAGTTAAATGTCTTGCTTCTGTGTTCTCTGCGCATGTTTCTATTATGCCACTTACCACACTGTATTGAAATTATTTCCTAGAGCAAGATCACCTCTTATTCAACTGATGGGTCTTCATGTTCATTGAGTGAATTTATAAATAAATTTGTTGAAGTACCAGGTAGAAATGGACAGAGAAAAAGAAGCCATGCAATGTAGTTTATATTTATCTTTGCAGCTATCCAGTAAAATTGACATTATGATCTTCTTTTTACTGATATAAAAATTGTGGCTCAGAGATGTGAAAGGATACGTCTAAATGATTTCACATAACAAATGCTTTCCAATAAATTGCTGACTTCTCTGTTTCTAAATAAGATGATGTAATAAACTTTACTCCTTAGGAATAATCTTAATATCAGTCTTAATATAGAGAGAACATATACAGACCCAACAAGCTTTAAAAGAATAGCTCTTTAAAGAGCTTGGTTACCTGTGAGTATGCTACTTTAAGAGATTGTACCTTAGTGATAAGTATGGAGAAGAAAGACAAGCCACACTTTTCAGCTATACTAATAGTCTTTATGTTCAACTCTCAGAGGACCATCTGAATAGAGAGAATATACAGAAGAGTTTACCTAGCAAAACCCACTTGGGTCCCAAGAGGTCTCTCACTCAGGAGGAAGAGAAAAAAAAAAAAATCTTAACCATAAGTTTCCCTATAATTCAATATAACTCATAAGGAAAACAGCATTTCCTTCCAAAACTTTCCACTTACACATGATAAAATATGTGGCATAGCAAATGCAATACTTAAAACTGAAAAAGTCATACACTTAAAAGCCCAAATCAACACTTTTGTTAAATTTCTACCTTCTTACCCTTCGAACACAAGAGAGTCTGTATTCAGATTAACTATAATATAATCACTTGTATATGCCTATTATTAGCACTTTTTAAAGAGAAATTCTTTTTAAAGAATTTCATTTGGAAATCTTGGGTTTGGGAATCTCCCTAAGTTAACATTCTACTACTTAAAGTCTGGACTGTTCAATGTTTTTTGCTTTAGGGTGATGTTTTCATAATGCCAATAACTCACCTGCATTGGCTTTAAGGTCTTCGGGTGTGACCATGACAACAAATCGGATTGCACGCTCATTTCGGAACATTTCATAAGACCACCTCCGGATAGACCGCATGCATTTCACTGCTGCAATGCCATTGTTAGCAATAAGAACCTGGGGGTGGAGGGGTGGGAGTTGGAGTGGGAATTTGAGGAAAAAGTAGAAAAGAAAGGCAATGATGGAGGAAAAGAGATGAGAGAAATTTATAAATCTATCTTTCTCTGAGGAAGTCAGATTTTCAACCAGAAATTCTCATTGCTGGTCCTGACTTTTAGGAACCAGCTCCCTCATGATCAAGCAATATTTTAAAATATTTAAAATAAGCAAATACTTTCATATGTGCCTGCTAAAATTTACTTCAGTCTAACTTCATTTCTTGAAGGGAAAAATCACAATTACTCAAACCCTGTGAGTTTGTGAATTATTCCACCATACTATCATACCTATTACAAGGGAGCAGAAGAAAACAAACTTCAGAGGGATGATCCATTATGAAATAAGGAATGGAGGAAGACTAAAAAGTACAGTGTCGTGCACTATTCTCTGTTGTAATAAAACAAGGCACAAAGCCCCCGAACATGTTTAAAAACCCTGACATCAATCACTTCTCTACAAAATCCTGAACCCCAATGCCTTAGAATTATAGAGACTCCCTCAGAAAAAATGGTCACAAGAAAGAAAGTAGAAGAATCAAGTGATCTTGAGACTACTCTGTAAACAAACCTTTCATCCCCTTACCTATCTTGCAATTATGCCCCTGAGGATAACATAGGCTAACAGACACATAATTTATCTTTATTGGAAGACTAATAGAAGGATACTGAGGAAGCAATACTTTAGGAGTGGGAATATAGGTCCCCCATCCTTTAATCTTGTAATCACTACAAGCTATTTCAACCAACTCATATCATCAGCTCTGACACAGTTTAGATAGAAGTGATACAGAATTATTCACAACATTTCAAAATACCTGAAATCTCCTTAAGTATTTCATGTGGTATATTTCCTTTAAACATCTCAAATACCTGGTAGAAACCAGTAAGTGACAGTGTATCAAACTAGTTAAGCCTTCTGTTCTGAAACCCTCTACTCCCTTAGCTCTAATTGAAGGCTGTGACATAAATTATCTCCCTTTCGGAACCCCATAAGCTAAACAACTCTTCATACCCTGTCAGACCAGTGCAGCCCCACTCTATAAAACCATAAGATCTTTCAAAAAGAAACTTTATGAGCACTGTTTCATCTTCTTAATTAGCTATGAGTAAACTATCAGTGGTAAATACATATTATTGAGAATAGTGAAATTATATAACAGGATGCTAGGGAAGCAGAAAGGACATTTATGCATAAAGAGGCAAGCAAAGCCTCTGAAAATCTAAGTATCAATTTTGAGTAAATCTAAACAACAAATCTAGGCATTAGGTCTCATGTACTTTTGACAAAATAATTTAGCAAGTTACAACTTACCTTCTCAATCACTTTGTTTCCCCCGAAGCGAGTAACAAATTCTGCTGGAGAAGCCACAGTGAAATCTCGCTGTGAGTCTATTTTCTTTCGGTCTCGACCTTGCTTTACTAGGTGCAAGCCAGACATGCTGGACCTATAAAAATACAGAAACCATGAAAGTCTGTAAATAGGATTTCTTCACCCCTCTATATCCTCTGGAGACCTGCTTTTCGCTACCATATTTATAACAGTACTTCCAACTGCAACCTTGTGAAGACTGCAGGCTGGCAGACCACATATTTTTCAAATAGAAGATAGAAAAGAAAATGATCCTTGCCTGTGGAAATTTAAGAAATTTAAGGAAAAAAATAAGTGTTCCTGAATAATAAAATGTCAGGGTTTACCAACAGATGCCCTCACAAAGAGATAGGCAAAGGATAAAGTGAAACAAGATGGTGTAAATAAAAGTCTCAGACAGCTAAACGCTAAAAAACAGTTAGCAAGGCTAACTGGATCATGACTGTTGTGCAGATGACCTTCACTTCAGTATCTCCATCCTTCTTTCTTATGAGTCGTAACTCCACATTTTTTTTTTTCCTTTTTGTCTTTTTTCGTGTCCGGCAACAGATCGCAACCCTCAGTGTCGCGCCCGTACCGGACCGGGACCGGCAACGGGATCGCAACCCTCGGTGCTGCGTCCGCACCTTGCTCAGCCAGTGAGCGGGAACCGGTCTGTATGTGGGATCCGAACCCTCGGCGGGAGCGCCGACCCGCCTTGGCCGTACAGCAGACATAAAAGATTCTGCAGACAAATTATTAGAAATAGTAGGAAAACTCAGTCAAGTGTTTAAGAAAACACTGTAGCAGTGCGCCACCGGGCCGGCCCATAACTCCACATTTTTAACTGCCTGCTAAATGTTTTACTTGGGTATCCCATAAGCATTTCAAAATCAACAACTTCAAAACCAAATTCTTTTTTTTTCTTTTTTATTTAAAGATGACCGGTAAGGGGATCTTAACCCTTGACTTGGTGTTGTCAGCACCACGCTCACTTAGTGAGCAACTGGCCATCCCTATATGGGATCCGAACCCGTGGCCTTGGCATTATCAGAACCACACTCTCCCGAGTGAGCCATGGGCCGGTCCCAAAACCAAATTCTTTACAAGGCAGCACTAACTGTAAGATGCCCCATCTTTTTGGTTTATTTTTTAAAATCTGTAAAATCGACACATATATTACAATTGGTGCTTTATTTAATTGGCAATTTTTTTTTCTAACCAATACATAAGAAATAAATAAAATAATGGTGCTTCTAACAATCAATGGTGTCTTAGATTAGACAAATAAAGCAGAGACCTGGGTTTAAATTTCAAATTTGTCCACTTAATAGCTAAAATGATCTTTGGCAAATAATTTAACCTTGTTCAGCTTCAGTTTTCTCTTTGTAAAATATGCATAATATTTATTGTCCCAGTTATTTACCCAGTTATTGTCTCTTAGCTCCAAGCCCATCCTTTTATGCTCTACTCTGTGACAACAGGGCTAAGACTCTGCAAACTTCATTCCAAGACTTCCTTTGCTAGCTCCTTCCTGTTCAGTTCTGCCTATGAGAAGGCAGAAAGGTAACAAATTGGACTTCCTACTTTTTTCCAGCTCTTATCAGCAATGCTCCAGCTGTAATGAAGAGTTTATTCTAGCTTCCTTCAACATTCCCAGGAAAAGCCTTAGAGGTACCCGAAGCAGTGGGCTGTGGCTTCTTGGCAGTCAGAGTACCAGCCTTGGACCACATACTCACTCATCCTCTGGACCACATTGCCTGGGCCTATCCATCACCTGTCAGGCCAGGCCTCCTCCTCAGGGATCTGAGTACCAGCTACTCAAACTTACTCCCAAAGGTCCGAGCACCAGCCCCCAAGGGCCCTCCTCGAAGCTCCTAGGTTCTGTTAACACTACCTCTTCCCTCTTATCTCCCAGCCCTAGGGGTGATAGCTGCTTCCTGTCATCATTAACTCAGGGTAACCTCAGCATCCGTTTTTTGTTATTTTATTCTTCTAAGACCCAAGTAAACAATTCCCGCTATTAAATGGCCTCTGTTTATAATACCTAATGCAGTTTCTCTTCTCATGACTGGACCTTGACTGACAGATCCTCCAAAAGGGTGTTTCAAGGATTAAATAACATAATAGAGATAAGCTCCTTTATACTTTACACTGTTTGATAGACAGCGGTTTTCTTCTATTCCCATCTTTTCTTCCTTTCCCCTACAATCTAACCTTGACAGCAGTAAGTTATCCTTTCAAAATAAAAGAGTACCATTAAAATCTTCCCACAAAGAAAATACCAGGTCCAGGTGGTTTAAAGGAAAAGATCTACCAAACTTTCAAGGGCAGTTGTCTACCAAACTTCCAGAAAATAGAAAAAGAAGTAAAACTCCCGCTGAAGTTACCAAAACTAAACAAAGATGTTAAAGAAATATTCCAGGTCCATTTTACTCATGACTATGTACTTGTACATGCAAGCATCCCAAACAAAATATCCTAAAACGGTATGGTAATGGTGCAAAGATGGGCAAATTATTAGTCAAAAATGTGTTATGATGTAATTATATACCATATAATTATGTATATATTGTTATTATATAAATATGTAATTATATTTTAATTTTGGAAAATCTATAAATGTAAACTCTGTGTAAGTACGTACCAGCAAGTGAAATAAAATGGAAAAAATTAGTCATTAAGACTGCAAAGGAGAAAGTTAAACTATCATTATTTGCAAATGATGTGATCATTTAAATAGAAAACATAAAAGATTCTGCAGACAAATTATTAGAAATAGTAGGAAAACTCAGTCAAGTGTTTAAGAAAAACAACAAATTGTTTTTCTCCTACTATACTCTCACAACACAGAACAGTTCTGTGACCACTCTAGCTGGGTATCCTATAATTCAATTCTGATACTATCCACCTGGAAATAGTGTCAGATCCCACAGGATAGGGGCTCAGTCCCACAAGACTGCCCCCACTTCAGATACCAAATGCAAGTCCCAGGTTGTGATCTGTACTTCTGACCAACCAAAAATAAATCGAGGTTTGCATGACTCCCCTCCTCAGGTTCAATAAACTTGGTAGAGCAGCTCACAGAATTCAGGTAAACTTTTATTTACATTTATCCATTTCTTACAAAGGATATTACAAAAGATACAGATGAACAACCAGATGAACAAGATGCACAGGGCAAGGGTTGTTGGAAGGGACTCAGAGGTTCTATACCCTCTCCAGGCACACCACCCTCCAGACACCTCCATGTGTTCAGTACACCAGAACTCTCCCAACCCCATAGCTCAGAGATTTTTATGAAGGCTTCATCATGGAGGCATAATTGATTACATCATTGGACACTGGTGATCAACTCAACCTTCAGCCTTTCTCTCCTCCCCAGAGGTCAAAGGGTGAGACTGAAAGTTCCAACCCTCTAATTACATGGTTGGTTGCTCTGGAAACCAGCCCCCAACAGAAATTTCTCATAATTCTGGAGGCTGTGAAGTCAAAGATCAAGGCACTGGCAAATTGGAGTCTGATGAGGACTCTCTCTTCCTGGTTCACAGATGGCACCTTCTTGCTGTGTCTTCACATGGTGGAAGGTACAAGGCAGCTCTCTGGAGCCTCTTTTATAAAGGCACAAATCACATTCATGAGAGCTCTGCCCTCCTGACCTAATCACCTCCCAAAGGCCTCATCTTCTGACACACTGGTGATTAGATTTCAATATATGAATGTGGGGGGAGGAGGAGGTAGCACAAATATTTAGACACATACACACACACGTACATATTTTGTTTATATATGCATGTTTGTTTTATACAAAAAACAATGTTTTATATATGTTTGTTTTATACATGTATAAATGTAAAACACATTATATGAATATATTAAACAAACATTTTATATTTTTTTGATATGATATATTTATACATGTATATACATAAGACACTTTTTTGATATTATATGTAATATATAATATTATATCACAGTTACTTTTTACTTCTTTGACTCTCAGTGGATGTTTTGCTTGGTTTTACCCCAAATGGGTGGAATAGGTGGGGAAAAGGAAAAGAAAAGGGTGATTGTTCCAAAGACAAATTTTGCCAACTCAAAGTGTTTATTTTCTGTTTTTGCCTAAGAGTAGTTTAAGTTTCAGGGAACTTTGTTTGAAATAAAAACTCCAGATTATAAAAACAACCAAACAAAACAAAAAAGAAAATGGAGGGACCCTTAATTACTGCTGTCAAGCAAATCATTTCAAGTCTTTTATGTCAATCCTCTGCTGAGGAGGCACCGACCTTCAAGAGGCTTGAAGAAGGACCACAATGGCCTGACTCATTTCTTCATCAGCCTGAGTTCTAACAGCGAGAAGAAGAAAGATCCCAGGGTAAGGGAGCATGGCACCCTCAACAACTCGTCTGGCTACCTACCAGGACAATTGCAGCAGGCAACTTTCCTGGCTCCAGAGATACATTCTAAAAAAGTTTTCTGCAAAATTACCTTCAAGAGGATGCTACATACTACAAGGAACAAATATCATTTCTTCACAACAGTTGAAGAGACTTCACTCTTGAAATAGCAGCCAAATCTAGTGAGCAAATTTGGCACAGACTGAGATTTCTTAATGAAATAATAGCACAGCAGAGTCTACACAGGGGTGCTTGTTTTCAACATAGCTACACTATCACACATGGGCTCAGGTATTTTCGTTCAAATTCTGAACGTAAACTAAAGCTTTAGTAATTCAGAAGCAAACGTGCCAGTTTTTATCAATTTCCTTTAAAAAAAAAAAAAGCTTTCATTTTCTTTCTTTTTTTTTTCCTTTTTGTCTTTTTTCATGACCGGCAACGGATCGCAACCCTCAGTGTCGCGCCCGTACCGGACCAGGACCGGCAACGGGATCGCAACCCTCGGTGTCGCGCCTGCACCTCGCTCAGCCAGTGAGCGGCCGGTCCATATGTGGGATCCGAACCCTCGGTGGGAGCGCCACCACGCTCCCAAGCAGCGCACTGTAGCAGTGCGCCACCGGGCCGGCCCAGCTTTCATTTTCTTATAGATACAAAAAAAAAGTTATCAAATGTTGCATAAATTCCAGGGCTTAGCCGTCAG